AGTCAATGCTCATTCAGGAATATTTCAATAAAATAAAACTAATAGCAAAATAGAATCCCAGGGTTGAAGCAGTTTCAAGAAAAAGGAGTTGGCAATATGAAGTAAAATAGCAAAAAAAAAAACGGTTTTTTTTTTAAAAAAAGGGTATATTTGTGTCTACAAGTTTTTTTAATTATAGCATTAGATAATGTATATATATTATATATATACATACATAAATATACACACATACACATATATAAAGCAATGGAAGTGCCATTGTTTTCACACTAGTCTAGAATATTAAAATATATGTATAACGTGGTCAGCAAAATAATGGCCCTTCAAAGATGTCCACAGATTCCTAGAACCTTACATGAAAATGGTACGTCATACATATGATTAAGGTAAAGACCTTGACATGAGGAGACTACCCTGGTGCTATGGAAGGAACATTGTGTTCCGTCAATGTTCCTGTGTTAAAATCCTACCCCTCAAGGTGATCGTATTAGGAGGTTAAGCCTTACGGGAGACTCTGCCCTCATGACTGGGATTAGCACCCTTATTAAAAGCACAAGGGAGCTTGTTTGTTCCTCTCATCATGTGAAGACACAGCAAGAAGGAAGCCTCTATGAGAAAGCAGACCTTCTCCAGACACCAAAACTGCCGGCACCTTGATCTTGCACTTCTCAGCCTCCAGGACTGTGAGAAACAAAGTTCTGTTGTTTATAAGCTGCCCGGTCTAGTGCATTTCCTTCTAGCAGCCTGTATGGATTAGGACAGTGGGCTCATGTGGATGAGGATGGCGTCTCCATTCAGGACTAAGTAAGCATATGAGTCCTTAACAGTGGAAGGAAGGGGGAAGGAAAGAGCCACAGAGAAATGTGGCCATAGAAGAAGGGTCCATGAGATGCAAGGTTGCTAATGGGGAGAGTGGAGAAGAGCTCAAAGCCAAAAAATGCAGGCAGATTCCAGAATGTGGAAAAGGCGAGAAAAAAGATTCTCCCCTAGAGCCTCTAGAGATGAAGGTAGCCTTTCCACCACCTAGATTTTAGCCCAGTGAGATCCACATCAGACTCTGACATACAGGAGTGTAATCAATTTATTTTATACCCTGACATGGTAGTAGTTTGTTGTAGCAGCAATGGACTAGTAATAAATAAATATATATATATACACACACAAATATATATTAGCCGGGTGTGGTGGTGTGTGCCTGTAGTCCCAGCTACGCGGGAGGCTGAGGCAGGAGAATTGCTTGAACTCAGGAGGCAGAGGTTGCAGTGAACCAAGATAGTGCCACTGTACTCCAGCCTGGCGACAGAGCAAGACTCCACCTCACATTACCTTCATTCTGAGAAGGTATAATTATCAACGCATTCTTGAGCACAACTATGCACACATGCACTTCCGCATTCACAAGCCATGCTGCGTGCACACACTGATGCCCCTAGATTCCTTTTTTGAAGAGATGGTGTCTTGGGGGGTGTGTGTGTGTGTGTGTGTGTGTGTGTATACATATACACACGCACTACCCACACATACACACAGAACTACATACATCCTGCCCTTCAAAACTGAAGCAGATAAACTATACGTTAGCATTAACTTAGCTGGGTGTGGTGGTGCACACCTGTAGTCCCAGCTACTCAGGAGGCCGAGAGGGAGGATCACTTGAGCCCAGGAGTTTAAGACCAGCCTGGGCAACACACTGAGGCCACATTTCAAAAACAAACAAACAATAACACAACAAACCTTTGATTAAACTCATTTCCCAAATTTGAAGAGGAGACAATTATTAGATAAAGAAGAGAAAAGAGAAAGGTAGAGCTGCTGACTTCTGTGGTGGAAGCACAGACACACACCCAAACATACTCCTGTCCTCCTGGCTTTCCTGTTCCTTCTCATAAGGAACACATGAACCTCTCAAACTGAAGCACGGATCACAGATCCATACTCAGAACTCAGTGCAGTTTTGTTCTATGATTTTTTATACATGTCCTTGTTTCTGCTTCCCGTTCCCAACTCCCTTATTCTAGTTAGAGAAAAAATGGCTATTACCAAATATGAGTACATCCTCATGTACTAATGCCAACTGATCACCAGCTGGTTTTCTTCTTTTACAAAGTCATAAATCTTTAGGCTTTAACACGTCTTCCACGCAACAGAATGTTATTTTCCGGTTCATTAACACAAATTCTGTACTTAAAATGAAGACTTCACAAGTTGATTTCAATAATATATTAACCAAACTAGACTGGCCATGGTTCAAACTGACATTTTAATTAAATGTGATGATAGGTTGAGTAACCTAGCAGTACTCTAACATGACTTTTGGTTATGGCTTTTTCCATATTATGTTTAGGCTGAGGCATCCCTAAATGATTCAATTGTAATTCCCCTTCTTAAACATGAGATTTATCCTCACAAAATAATTTATTTTCTTAAAATTACAAGCTAATTCTATAGTTCATGCCTGCATAATCTCACTAGATATCAGCTGTATGTGTACACACATACATATAGGTATTTGTATATACACACATTACATAATATTTTTTAAAACTTATTAGGGTACAACCACAAAGACAAAGAGGCTTCGTGTAATGTGATGGAAACACAATTGCAGGACAAACAACAGGCTGCTGTGAGGGCTGTATTTACCGTTGCTGCTGTAAAACTTAGAAAAACATGGATAGTGGATATTTAATCCCCATAACAGAAAATTTAGCGTGCAGAAAACTTCCCATAATTTTTACAGAGAATATCAATAGAAAGGCATTCAATGCAGGGAATACATAGTGTGACAGTATACAAAAATAAGCAGGTTGATGGTTTAGATTTATGAGACAAGTGACAGAAATAATAGATGATGTCATAATTATCCTTTTTGGAGTTAGGAAAATTCTTCATTTTATATATGGTCAGGTGCTTTCAAATGTCAATGAGAAAAATATTTAAAGGAAGACTCAAATCTGAGATGTGGAGAGATCTTTACAGAAGTGACCTTCAGGCCAGGCACAGTGGCTCACACCTGTAATCCCAGCACTACGGGAGGTAGAGGCAGGCGGATCACGAGGTCAGGGGATCGAGACCATCCTCGCCAATGTGGTAAATGCCATCTCTACTAAAATACAAAAAATTAGCCAGGTGTGATGGCGTGTGCCTGTAGTTCCAGCTACTCAGGAGGCTGAGGCAGGAGAATCGCTTGAACTCAGGAGGCAGAGGTTGCAGTGAACCGAGATAGTGTCACTGTACTCCAGCCTGGCAACAGAGCAAGACTCCACCTCACATTATCTTCATTCTGAGAAGGTGTAATCATCAACACATTCTTGAGCACAACTATGCACACATGCACTTCCGCATTCACAAGCCATGCTGCGTGCACACACTGATGCCCCTAGATTCCTTTTTTGAAGAGATGGTGTCTTGGTGTGTCACCCGGGATGGAGAGCAGTTTTAGGATCACAGCTCACTGCAGCCTCAAACTCCTGGGTTCAAGTGATCCTCCTACCTCAGGCTCCTGAGTAACCTGAACTACAGGAATGAGCCACCATGCCCAGCCAATGTTTTCATTTTTTTGTAGAGATGAAATCTTGCTGTGTTGCCCAGGCTGGTCTTGAACTCCTGGCCTCAAGGAATCCTCCTGCCTGGCTCTCCCAACGTGCTGAGATTACAGGTATGAACCATTGTGCCCAGCCACCGGATTCTTTATTGAGAAGAAAATTTGTTTGCTGACATGTAGGCAATGAATTCATAAATAATAGGTCACAAATTACTAATTTACAAGTCAATATAATGAGTTGAGTAAACACAAAATAACAGCATAAATTAATAAACAGTTGATAACTTCAGAGTTTCTTTTTTTTCTTTAAAATGAAGCTCTGACAGAGACTGCTACTTGTCCATTCGATGGAACAGTCAGAGGTGGTTAAAATGTCAGAGGTACACTTATTAATACCTTGCTGCCTTTTGTGTAGCTTCCTCTCAGTACTTCACCAGACTCACCTCTCCAGGTGGGTTCAGGAGCCAGACAGGAGCACACAGAACTGGGAATCCAAAGCCATCTCTGACACTAAAAGCAATGAAAACATAAATAATCAAACATATTATCAAGAAATGAAGAAGAGATTGATATCAAGTCCAGCAAGAAGGGAAGAAAGCATTAAATCTGCCAGGCTTTCATTCTGACAAAATAATTTACAACATGCATGTCTCTATCCGACATGTGTGAATAGAAAAAGAACCCAAATACCCGGTTAATTGCAAGACGAAAATGAAAAAGAACTCTTGCTTATTCACCAGTGTACAATCGAATCTGGGCTACTAAAACACTTTCATGCACTGATTCTCTCAATGCAACACACGCTTTATTGCCATTTGGAAATGGGATTTCTTGCTTTGATTTAAATACACTTCCTTTGATTTCTTACTTTAAGTATACTTTCTTAACATATTCACAGCTATATTCTCGATACAAATTTTCAGGTGTAAGTAACTACTTCTGCTTTTGATAAACAAATAGTATAACTGGTGAAATAGGTACACTCCCACGCAAAGGTGAGAGTACAAGGTAAGACTCCAGAGTCCAGTAAAATATAACAGTCAAGAAAAAAAAAAAGGTGAGAGTAATGGGGCAGTGGGGAAATCTTGTGTGTGGAAAGAATGAATCTGGAAAACTGTTCTTCCCTAAGACTTCAGCAGGATTTGGATGGTAGAGAGCTTTGTGTACAAGGGTTCCAGTTCCACACAGTTCAGGTCTAATTTCAAAGGCAACTTCTAGTGCAACCTGTGACTCACCCTGTCCTAAAGTGCCATCTGTAAAGGGTCTGGAGATAACCCACAGGCAGCACTGTGAACCCCTGACAGCCCTTCCAGATAAATACCAGGTCAGTGTCTACAGCTGATGACACAGAGCAGAAGATCTGAAAAATAATACTTCTTCAACCAACGGACTGCCAGTCACTATTATTTAGTGTAAAATACTATATTACATATACATATACAATACTATATTACATACTACATACCTGTGATTTTTTTTAATTGTGGTGTTTCACATTGAAGCAATGAAATATAAAAACCAAATGTTTATTAAGCTTAAAGGCAACTTAGAAATACTGATGCCAGATAGAAAGATGCTTTAGCCCCAAGTCAGCTGTTTGGAAATGCCCCAACTAAACCAACAGAGGAATCTTGAGGCATAATAAGCGTTCATACCTTTCCAGCTATACTTGTGCTTGTCTTGAATATGAAAACCTAAGCTGCAGTTATGCCACAGCACAGAATGTGTTATATTTTACATCATTGAGCCTTAGTTCACAAATGGTAAAACACAGGGAAGGTAAACTGTAAGGTTTTCTTAAGGAGCTGTTACATCCAACAGACTCATGAAAATCTTTGCCAAATGTCCCCGGTACATAGCTCCTCCCCACTGATGGGCTCAACAGGGAGAAGCTATGCACATGTCTCAACTTTCATATGCTCATTGGCAATACAGGATTCCTAGGATAAAGTAAGGGATATAAATGACACAGCACACTGAAAAGACTGTAATGTTACTTCAGAGTGTTGCAAAATAAAGATCACAGATGAAAGTGTTAGTTCATTGAAGGATGTAATCATGTATATTTCATTAGTGTGTTTTAAAGTCTTATACTGCTTACATTCTTACGTGGGAAAATATATCTTGTTTGTGCTTTATGGATGAAATGTGAACAGACAAAACTAAAAATAATTTTACAACCCAAATCACCAGATGTTAATGGCTGGTAATTCAACCAGAAATCTAAAAGATAGTATCTGTTTCATTGTGATACCAAATATCAGTGACAAGGAAAATTTTATTTGTGGTATTTAAGTGTAGGCCTCTGGAACAAATGACTTGGTTCACAGGCAGCACGCCCACTGCTGAACTGCCACGGCCTGACAGTCTGTCTTATCTGCCAAACTGCTCATTAGGTTTGGCAATCTTCACCTGTGCCTCCAGCTTACATTTCAGCAGGTAATACACATCAGTCTGCTTTTATCGTCTTCTGCAGTGAGCTTCCAACACTCCTTTAGCAGTACAGTGCCCCTGCATCTGCAATCCTCCAAACACACCTTGTATATGTGTCATTATTTTTCGACTCAATTCAGCTTCCAGCTTTGGAGGCTAGCTTAGCTTAAATAAAGCAAAAATACAAGACAGAGAATATGCAAAGTAAGTCCTGCATTGTAAATATTAAGTGGGCTGACCAATCATTTACTTTTTTAACATTAAAAAAGAATACATTCACCATACAAATTTAATATTTAAATATGGATTTCAGAATGTATTTTGGCATGGGGCACAGGGGACAATAGAGCAGAGGATTCCTCTCCCAATTGTCTCTGACCTATCCAACCTTTGTTAGGTCAGAGAGTTCTCCAATTTATT